GGGAGTGGGAGAGGGAGAAGCAGGCTTCCCACGGAGCAGGGAGCCAGACGTGGGGCTCGATCCCAGGACCCTGGGATCATGACCTGAGCCGAAGGCAGACCCTTAACGACTGAGCCACCCAGGCGCCCCTCTTACTAGTTTTTAAAAATAGATTCTAAGTTTAGAGGTAAAATTATGCTCTTACAAAACATTTTGAAAGCATGTACAGGTACAAAGGATGGGGCGCCTGACTGGCTCAGTTGGTGGAGCATGCAACTCTTGACCTCAGGGTTGTAAGTTCAAGCCCCACGTGGGGTGTGGAGATTACTTAAAAAATAAAATCTTTTAAAAAAAAGTACAAAGGAAAAATTAAGCACAAAAGTTATCTATCATCCCACAACCAAGGGGGATAAGCATTGTTGACAATATTAACAGCGCATGTCCTCCCCTTGTTTTCTCTGTTAACATGAATTTCTTGAGCTGAGGGGCGCCTGAAAGGATACTTTCCAACTAAAGCAGGAATCCCCTCAACAACATTAGTTGACACATACTTGCTAGCACTCGCTAGCTACGGGGTACAGAGATGGCTGAGACACTGAGGGAACTCTCTAGAATTCACAGGCTAGATGGGAAGATGGGTCATGTGGTCAAAGAGCTGTGATAGCCATCACTGGGCATTTACCTGTGCACCAGACTGTGCAGAGTGCTTGACTCATCCCCCACGACCACACGGGCCAGGGATACTGTTCCCATCCCCATTTACCCAAGGCCTGAAAGGGTAATTACCTCACCCCAAGGTCTGGGAAGTGGGAGAGCCAGGCTTAACCCCAAGTTACTGGGAGTCCTGAGCACACCCCCTCCGCCTGAGTCCAGGGGTCCCCGAGGCAGCCTGCCATCCCCACAGCACTCACTGTAGGAGGAGGCCCTGGAGGTGCCAAGTCCCAGCTGTGCTACTTACTATCTGTGGGCCCGTGGGAAGTTAGACAATACAGGAAAAGTGCTCCAGGCCTCAGTCTCCTCGTACAGATTAGTCAGAAGGTTAGTCCGAGGACATTGAGGTGATGCTGAAATCGCTACACAGGTGAGAGGTGGCCTTCAGTTTTCTCATTGTAAAGCCAGAGTGATAGAAGTGCTCCCCTGGGGTTATGGGGAGGCTTCACCAACCCAGTGCACCTGGAAATGCTCAGATCTGTGCCCGGCACCCAGAAAATGCCTAGTGAACGTTAGCCATTCTGATTAGAACAAGTGTAGTACGGGGCGGGGAGGGGCTTGATCCCCCCAGGAGCTACTTTCTGGAACAGGTGTCAGCTGAAGGGAGCTTAAGACCAAACTACCCACCAGCCTCCCAGACAAAGAATCACCTGCCTCACACCGCAGCTTCTTCCATTCTGTAGTTCACAAAGCACCCCCCACTCACCTGCCATCATCCTTGATCAGCAAACTCCTAAAAGAGCCAGGGAGTGGGGAGGGGAACACAGGTTAAGTTGAGCATGGAAAGTCCTAGCTTATTCATTTTTAAAAAACTATTCGAGCCTCTCCTGTTTAACTGCTGGGGTGGGTGTGGGTGTCAGATGGCAGGGCCTGGCCAGGCCCCTCCTGCAGCGAGAAGGCAGTCGCCCACTGTCCTCTACCCCAGCCATACCATTCCTTATGTGTATAGCCACCTCATCTCGCTGCTCCTTCGAGTAAGCGTGGACAGATGATGAGCAGAGGTCTGCACCAATGTCTGCACTGCCTAAGGCCACACATCTAAGAGTGGAGGGTAGCCAGGACTAACCTCGCGGGGCTTGGGCTTTCCTCAGCAGAGCACGCTTCTTTGCAACACTTCATCCAAGCCCAACTGGGTGGTTAGATCAGTGAGTTCCCAACTCTGGCTCAACATCCATGTCATCTGGCAGGGGTGTTTTGTCAGTTGGCTTGAATAGAGATCCTTGCTTCCTGATTCCTTAGGTCTGGGTCGGACCTCGGAGTCTGCAGTTTTTGAAACCTTCCCAAGGTTTCTAAGAGCAAGATTCAGGGACCAGGGTTGGAATAGAAGTGTTCTGGCAGGTTTGAGAAGGGCTCTGTCTCTGCCTGCACCCACTCTGTTCTCTCTGGACTCTTCAGGCCTGGGGGAACCATGGTGACCTACGGGGGAATGGCCAAGCAGCCCGTCATAGCCTCTGTGGTAAGCTGGTGGGGGAGGCAGGCATGGACACAGGCCTGGACACAATAGTTGTCCAGACCCACAGGTGCCCTTGTCCCTGGACAGAGTCTGTACCTCAAGCAGCGCCTGAAATGCTTGCCCTCAGAGCCCCAGTTCATCCTTCTTGTGTCCACAGAGCCAGCTCATTTTTAAGGATCTCAAACTTCGAGGCTTTTGGTTGTCCCAGTGGAAGAAGGACCACAGTCCAGGTGAGTGGATGATGGCCCCATTGCCAAGGGTCACACGAGAGGGCAGTGCCTACTGCAGAAGTGACCCGCCATCCTGAGGCCTGGAGGGGTGATGGGCTCCCCAGTGCCATGACAGGTTAAAGGAAAATAGCCTCTAGCCACAGTTGCAGTCAGCAAATAGGTACTGGGCTCGAGGGAGCTGGTCCTGGGGGTGGCAGCAGTGAGCAAGGCTGCCCCTGGGGAAGACTGCCATGGAAGACAGCCAAGTACAGAGAACAAACTCTGGAGCCAGCCTGCCTGGGTTCAAATCCTGCTCCCACCATCACTGGGGATAGGTTTACCCAGCCTAGCCATGGGACCTGGACAAGTTACTTAACTTCTGTCTCAGTTTAAATATCATAGTTGTCTAGATATTGTTAGCCTTTGATTGAGGAGGAAACTGAGGTTCAGAGTGGTTAGGTAGCTTGCCCAGTCTCCCCATGTAGGGAGTGATGCAGCCACAATGTAAACTCATCTCTTTGACTCCAGAACCTGAGCCAGTACACCATCCTTCCCCTCCTGGAGGACTGGCTGCCCAGAGTATGACCCCCCCGCCCCACGCTGAGACTGAAGAAGCACATGGAATCATTCAAGTGAAGGGGAGGAAAGTTGTGGCATCAGTGGCATGTTTCAGGCCGGAAAAGTAGCCTGTGCAAAAGGCCATCATAGAGAGTGGGGACCTAGACAGATAGGTTGTGACCAGATTATGAAAGGCTTTACAACCCTTCTTAAGGAGCTCAGACTCTATCTTAAAGGCAAGGGAAGAGCCACCAAAGCGTCCTAAACAGGGGACATGATTAGATTTGAATGTTGCATGAATTGATGTCTATGAAAAACCACTTCTCATCTTCCTGGACCATAGAGGGGGACAGGCCCTGGGAGGGGGCGCTGGGGACCTCAACTTGTGGGGTTCTAAGGGAGTCCTGAGCTCTTTACCTGGGCAAAGCTCATCAGTTCCACATCAGCTGGCATGCCAGGCACACCCACCCCCTCCCTGTGCCTCTTCTAGCTGCCCTGCCTCAAAGTACTCCTGCCGCTCCCACCATTCAGGACTCTCAGTTACACCCAAGTCAGGTTCTGTGGGTCTGAGCCCTCTTAGCCACCACTCTGCCTGCCCCTCAGTCCTGGGGCCACTCCCCCACGCTCCTCTGTCCTAACCCCCCAGGGACCAGGCTGCCCCCACAGCCTCCCTATCCCTGGTCAAGCCTGGGCTCTCGAGGCTTTCCTAGAGTTTAGCGTCAGCTCCTGCCACTGGGGGTGGCCCATGGTCTGTCTTGCCATGCCCTGCCGCTGCACCTCTGTCTGACTTCCTCAACTTCCCACAGCCCAGTTCAAGGAGCTGATCGTCACGTTGTGTGGTCTCATCAGCCGGGGCCAGCTCACAGCCCCCGCCTGCTCCGAGGTCCCACTGCAGGACTACCAGCGTGCCTTGGAAGCCTCAGTGCAGCCCTTCGTGTCTTCAAAGCAGATTCTCACCATGTGCTAATCGCGGAGGAGCTGGAGCGAGGTGGGAGGGGAGATGGATCGGCAGGACTGGTTTCTGGCGCCTCTGTCAGGGCCCTCTCAGCCTTCCCCAGGCTGCCCTCTCCTCACTGTCACTTCCGACTGGGAGGGTCGTGAAGCCAGCTAAGGCTTTCCCCAGGGCCAGCCCCAGGGTATCTAATAAAGTGAACTTCCTAAAAACACATACATACAAACCCATAGAAGTCATCCCTGGCAAGAAGGACCCTCATTGTGCACCTGCCATTCCCCAGCACTAAGAAGACCCCTTGCCCGTCCTCTACTTGTCCCCTAGTGATGATTTCCTGACGACCCTGAAACAAAGCAAGGGTAGGCACTGGCAGGTACAAAAGCCAGTAGGATGCAGTCTCCACCCTCAGGCTCTCCACAGGGGAGCAAAAAGGAACGTTTGACTCATTCTGTGTAGTATGTGGCTCAGTCTGGGGCAGAAGGATCAGCTACATGGGAGAGTGAATGCCAGGCTGAGGAGCCAAGGAAATGGGGTCTCAGCTGGCTGGACCACCCTATGGAATGCCTGTTCTAACTGGGGAGATGGTTGTTACACCAGTGCTTCTCAGCCTGAAGTCATTCTACCCCCAGGGGACCTTTGACAGTGTCTGGAGACATTTTTCATCATAAGTGAGAGGATGCTATTGGCATCTAGTGGGTAGAGGTCAGTGATGCTGCTCAAACATCCTGTGGTGCACAGAACAGCCTTCCTCAACATAGAATTACCCAGCCCAGAATGTCCATCGTGCCTGGGTTGGGAAAACCAGCATTAAGCTAAGAGTCCCAAAACAACTGCCATGGTGATTCATGGCTTAAACATGTGGAAGTGCTCTGAGGCCATCACTGATCAGGGGCTTGTCCTAGGCCTGTGGTCAGGGGAACCTTCCTGACATGAAGCTTGAAAGTGGGCTCTGAAAATGAATAGTTTTATTCAGACAAAAAGAGTTTGACATTATGTGACTTTTTGGTGTTTGCCTAATGAGCTACTCACCCAGAGCAAAAAACTAGAGACTTTGGAATGTATTTACTGGATACCTAGTATGTGCCTAAGGCTAGGGATGCTGGTGGTGGGGGAGGGGGGCCTGGCCCTCTAGTTCCTTAGCGCAGAGCAGGGGACAGACCTTCCCAGTATACTAATGAGGCCACTGACTCAGGTGTTCAGAGGGCCATGGGGACATAGCAGTTCTGCCTGAGGGTTTGAAGGAAGGCTTCATGGAGGAGGTGTCATCCACAGCAAATCTTGAAGGCCAAGCAGGAAAGCATGTACCAAGCAAAACCAACAGCACATGTGAGAATTTGGAGGGCTGGGAGCCTGGCTCTGCTGCCTGAGACGGGAGAGTGTGAGGACTGAGGTGGGAGCTGTGAGCAGAGGTCAGAGCAAGAAGATTCGAGAAGTCAGCACTTACCCTTCAGAGCGGGGGAGGCACAGAGGGATTTTCAGCAGCAGAGTGATGTGGGAAAACTGGCTCAGAAAGCCAGAGTGCACTCAGGCTTAGCTGCACGAAAACATGTACGCAGGCCCCCAGCATAATGCTCTTGCCTTTGGGAGCATCTTCTGTGTCCCCTGGAGAAAAGGACTTAGCTTCAGCCCAGGGTTGGGGAAGGTCTGCAGGTGTCTTCTGGATAAGAGTTGCTACCTTTTGCACCTAGGCTCAAGATCATCCCCAACCTGCCCAGGTCCCTCCTGTCCCCTGTCCTCTATCCTTGAGGTTAGTGGGACAGCTGACTTGTACAGATGGTCAACATGGGCTAGTGAAAAAAGCCTGAGAGGGTGAGAGAGGCTGCCCAAAGGCTACAGGAGTGAACAGTTAAGTTTAGGTTCTTTGGGGGGAGTCCACAATGTCGGGCTTAGGGGGAGTAATGAGCCTGCAGCATGGGGAGGGAGTCTGACTCAGAGGAGGCAGACTGGAAGGAGGAAGGTTCATAACACCATGGTTAGAGACCCCATGGAGGGATGTGCAAAATGTCCTGAGAACAGTAGCTCTAGGGGTCTGGAGATGACATTTGGGCTGTGCTTTAAAGGATGATTATAGTTTTCTCAGGCAGGGAAGGGAGACAACCATAAACTAAGGGACCAGATTAAGCTAAGTTATAGAAGCAGGACATTTATGTTAGAATCTTCTCATTTCCCCCAAATATCCATTCTCTTTCTGAGAATTAATGCTGACAACGTTTAGGTCAGCATATGGTAGGCTGGAATAAACCGTTTTCCTGCCTTCCTTGCAGCAGACAGGTCTGTCCCTTGTCATGCATACAGAGGTGGTAGGTGTCAATTTCTTAAGAACCTCTTTAAAATATAGCTGGCATCCATCCTGTACCTTTTTCTTCCCTTTCCACCTTCCTCCTGGCTGGGACACAGACCAGATTCCTGGAATTTGCACAGCCATCTTTGACCATGTTAAGAATGGGTCAATGACAAGATCCAAGGGCGCCTGGGTGGCTCAGATGGTTAAGCGTCTGCCTTCGGCTCAGGTCATGATCCCAGGGTCCTGGGATCAAGTCCCGCATCGGGCTCTCTGCT